TCTGCCTTTCAATGGCAGCGCCTATCCTTTCACGTAATACGCTTGTCGCTATGAGTGGGTTTAAGTCTTATCATCTTGCTGTTTGTTGTCTATGTGTCCCCCCTCTTTTGTTCCTCCTCTACTGCCTTCTGTTTGGTGGAGTCTTTATAAAACATTTTATTCCAACTTCTCTACTTGCTTTTTAGCTATGCCTCCCTAGATTTTTGGTTGCTGTAGTGAGGGTTACGCTGTGCATTTCTTCAATATCCAGTCTACGGTCCAATAATATTACCTCACTTCATGTATAATGAAAGAACGTTACAAAAATATAAGGCCATCACGTCTCCTCCAGTCTTTTGTGTTATTGGGGTCATATATTTTATTGTATGTGTTATAGATCCCGGAACGCATTGTTATTTTTGCTTTAAAAGGTGGATTAATTTTTAAAGAATTTAAGAAAAGAAAAGTCGTCTGTGGTGTGTATTCACATACTTACCATTCCCAGCACTCTTGGTTTTTTTCCCTCCCATAAGCCTGAAATTCTATCTGGTATCATTTTCCTTTAACCTAAAGACTTTTCTTTAGCATTTCTTTTTCTTTCTTTTTTTTTAAGTTGGAGTTTTGCTCTTGTTGCCCAGGCTGGAGTACAATGGTGCAATCTCAGCTCACTGCAACCTCTGCCTACTGGGTTCAAGCAGTTCTCCTGTCTCAGCCTCCTGAGTAGCTGGGATTACAGACACCTGCCACTACGCCTGGCTAATTTTTAGTATTTATAGTACGGATGGGGTTTCACCATGTTAGCCAGGCTGGTCTTGAACTCCTGACCTCAGGAGATCGGCCCACCTCAACCTCCCAAAGTGCTGGGATTACAGGTGTGAGCCACCACACCTGGCTTCTTTAGCATTTCTTATATTGCAGGTCTACTGGCAACAAATTCTCTGTTCTATTTATCCCAAAGTGGTTTTATATTTTCATTTTGAGGGATGTTTTCACTGAAACCGTTCAAAGCTAACAGATTTACTCCTTCATGACTATCAGGTGCTGTTCCATTGTTGGCTGACTTGCATTGTTTCTATGAGAAGTCTGCAAAATTCTGCAGCCTCGTTTTCCTGTGTAATTGTCTCCTCCCACCCCACCCACCCCAGCTGCTTTCCAGGTTCTCGCTCTCTGATTCTCACCAGCCTGCCCATGCTGTGCCTGTTCCAGGTTCCCTCTCTCATTCTCGCCAGCCTGCCCATGCTGTGCCTGTTCCAGGTTCTCTCTGATTCTCACCAGCCTGCCCATGCTGTGCCTGAACACCGTTTTCTTTGCATTCATCCTGGCTGGGGCTCACTCAACTTCCTGAATCTGTGGATTAATTTTCTTTTTTCAATCAACCTTGGAATATATATTTTTTGTCTTATTCTCTCTCTTTTCTCCTCTGAAATGCCAATTAAATGTATGTTCGGCTGCTTTATCCTGCCCCACAGCTTATTGGGGCTCCATTTTCAATCATGTTTCTCTTTGTGCTTCTTATGGCAGTGGTGGCCCATCTAGAGTGGCTTCTGCCATCACACCAGCTGAAATGGGGAGGTGTATCCAGGGCTGCGTACTCTCTGGGAACAGATGGGAGCCCCACCTCTTCTGAGCTGGTGGGGCAGGAGCTCCCTGGATGCAGCCACAGACACCCAAGTTATGCCTGTGGTCCTGGGCCTCCCACAACATGGAGCAGGCAGGAGCCCCACCCCACTGGGCACAGCTGCCACCCAAGTGGTGGCTGCAGACTCAGGCCTCCCTGGGCTCTTGGTAGGGGTGGGAGCAGGCAGGAGCCCTGCCCTCCCAGGTGCAGCTGTAGACCCAAGCCTCCGGATCCATGCAGCAGGCAGAAGCCCTGTGTACCCCACCCCACCCCCTGCAGCTGCATGGCCCAAGCATGCTCAGATCAGTACTGACACATCAGCCCCCAGCCACTTTGGCCCTCTCTAGACTTTGGGCACCAGCAAGCATAGGAGGGAAGCTGATGGGGGTTGAGGGCAGCTCATCACAGGCCTGCAGGTGCCCCTTGGTACCTATAGCCTGGGTGCCATGAATGGCAGCAGGAAGCAGACGATTCATGGGCAGAAGGGGGCGGGTCTCCAAGGAGGTCCCCCCTTCAGGCCAGGGAGGGCCTAAAGGCTGGGGGTTGGTCTGCCAGTCCCACGGGCTAAAGTTGGAAACTCGCAGTGCCTTTTTCGAGCCTGCCCATAGCCACTCATGGACCAATTGGTGTGCACTTCCTCCCCTCTGAGGCCCATAAAAGCCCCAGGCTCAGCCAGAGCTGAGCAGAGGTTGGGAAAGCCAGCGGCAGAGAGGAGCTACCACTCTAGGGCCTCCTCTCTACTGAGAGCTGCAGAGATGATGGGATGACCTGCCTGCAGAAGAGCTACCCACTCCAGGGCCTCCTCTGAGCTATTCTGTTACTCAATAAAGCTCCTCTTAGTCTTGCTCACCCTCCACCTGTCCGCATGCCTCATTCTTCCTAGAAACAGGACAAGAACTTAGGACCTGCCAAATGGTAAGGCTGAAAGAGCTGTAACATGAACAGGGCTGAAACATGCCCCTTGCTCGCCACATTGTGGGTGAAGATAAGCAGAGAAGAGCGACAGTCCTTCAGGGAGCCCAGACCTGAGAGCTCCCCAAGCCAGGGCTATGACTCCCTCTTTGGGGCCCTGCAGTTTCTGGAGTCTCCAAGCTTCTGGGCACCACCATGTTCCCTGATGGCAGCCATGAAAGATGCTTGCAGTATGCCTGATCCAATCACAGCCTCACAGAGAGCCAGTGCCCTTGCTGGCACCTGGAGCTGCCCACCTCACTGCAGCAGCAGGCATGGCTGACTGTGTGCAGGGGCCAGACCCCATGCTCATTTGCTCACACACCCTTGGCTGCTCCGTGCCTGGCTCTCCCTTGGCAGGCATAGGACCCAGGCTGGTGGTGTGAGCTGAGTGCAATCTGCCAGGCCAGTGGGTGGAACAAGCCCAGTGGGCCTGAGCAAAACTCAGGCAGAGGTGCCATGGTCCATAGTGGCCTCCAGCCAGAAAAGTGACACCCCAAAGATCCTGCCACACTTCCATGGAGAGAATTTCTACTCACCTGTCTTTACATGTATTGGCCCTCTTAAAATTGAGAAAAATATGCTATTTTTTTTTTAGACAAGCTCTCACTCTGTCACCCAGACTATAGTGACATGATCACAGCTGACTGCAGCCTCAAATTCCTGAGCTTAAGTGATCCTCCTGCCTCAGCCTCCCAAGTAGCTGGGACTGTGGGCACAGGCCACCATGCCCGGCTAATTTTTGCTTTTTTTTTTTGTAGAGATGGGGTTTTGCCATGTTGTCCAGGCTGGTCTTGAACTCCTGGACTCAGTGATCCTCCTGTCTTGGCTTAGTGCTGGGATTATGGGTATAAGCCATTGTGTCTGACCAAGTCTAACATGCTTTAGTCCCACCCAATGAATGTTCAATTTTAGACACTGTATTTTTTCAGTTTAAAATTTGATCTGATTCTCTTTTTAAAAAACAGTTGCTGTATCTCCCTCCTCCCACCTTTTTCTTTTGAGACAGAGTCTCACTCTGTTGCCCAGGCTGGTGTGCAGTGGCATGATGCCAGCTCACTGCAACATCCATCTCCTAGGTTCAAGCGATTCTCCTGCCTCTACCTCCCTCCTGCGACTACAGGCACATACCACCACTCCTGGCTAATTTTTTATATTTTTAATAGAGACAACATGTTGGCCAGGCTGCTCTTGAATTCCTGACCTCAAGTGATCCACCTGCCTCACCCTTCCAGTGTGTTGGGATTACAAGCATGAGCCACCATGCCCAGCCTTGTTATACGTTTAATTATATCCACCCCCTTCCAAAGATATGTTGTCTTCCTAACCTCCAGTACTTCAGAATGTGACCTCATTTAGAAATGAAGCTATTGCTGATGGAATTACTTAAGATGAGGCCATAATAGCGGAGTAAGGTAGGCCTTAATGCAATATGCCTGGTGTCGTGTTTTTTGTTTTTGAGACAGGATCTCTTGCCCAGGCTGGAGTGCAAAAGTACAATTTTGGCTCACTGCAACCTCTGCCTCCCAGGCTCAAGCAATCCTCCCACCTCAGCCTCCTGAGTAGCTGAGACCATAGGCATGCACCACTGCACCCAGCTATGTTTTATATTTTTAGTAGGGTTACAGTTTTGCCATGTTGCCAAGTCTGGTCTTGAACTCCTGGGCTCGAGTAATCCACCTGCCTTGTCATCCCACAGGCATGAGCCACTGTGTCCAGCCGAACTGCTGTCTTTATAAGAAAAGAGAGGAGGCCAGATGCAGTGGCTCATGCCCATAATCCCAGAACTTTGGGAGGCCAAGGCAGACGAAGCATTTGAGGCCAGGAGTTCAAAACCAGCCTGGGCAACTGGCAAAACCCTGTTTCTACTAAAAGTACAAAAATAGCTGGGCATGGTGATGCACGCCTGTGATCCCAGCTACTCCAGAGGCTGAGGCAAGAGAATAGCTTAAACCCAGGAGGCGAACATTGCAGTGGACTGTGATCATGCCACTACACTACAGCCTGGGCAACGAGTGAGACTGTCTCAAAAAGAAAATAAAAAAGAAGAAGAGAGAGGCTGGGAGTGGTGGCTTACCTGTAATCGCAGCACTTTGGAAAGCTGGGGCGGGTGGATCGCTTGAGCCCAGGAGTTTAAGACCAGCCTTGGCAATACGGTGAAACGCTGTCTCTACCAAAAATACAAAAATCAAGCCAGTCTCATAACCCAGTCTCAAAATAAATAAACAAATAAATACATTAAAATTTAAAAAGAAATAAGAAGAGAGAGCCCTGGGAAGAATGCCATGTGAGGAGGAAGGAAGAGATCGGAGTGACGCATATAAGCCAAGGAACGCTGACGACGGACGGCTGTCACTGGAAGGTAGGAGAGAGACATGAACAGATTCTTCCTGAAAGCCATCGGGAGAAATCTGCCCTGCTCATACCTGAATTTTATACTTTTAGCCTCCATAAGTAGGAAAGAGAACATTTCGGACGAATTGGCGTTAACAGAGGCTGGCATAGATTTGGCTATCTGCGCTCGTAGCTGCTTTTGGTGCGAAAGATGCCGGGTCTGGTCGACTCAAACCCTGCCCGGCCTGAGTCTCAGGAGAAGAAGCCGCTGAAGCCCTGCTGCACCTGCCCGGAGACCAAGAAGGCGCGCGATGTGTCTACCATCGAGAAAGGAGGAGAACACTGTGGACATCTAATTGAGATGAGAGCCCTAGGATTTAAAATATGAAACGGTGGTCTGGTGTGTGAATAAATAATTCCTGAAGAATGAAGAAGATTAATTTTGGGAGTTCTTTGATGAACTTTGATATGTGGAAAAAGCATTTATAATTTATTTTAAAAAGAAAGTAAAATATTACTAGCGAAATTAAAAAAAAAGAAAGAGAACATTTCTTTTGTTTTCTGCCACTGAGTTTGTGCTACTTTGCTCTAGTGGCCCTAAGAAGCTAATACACTCCTTAAACTACTCTTGCCTTTATCCATCATAATTTCCTTTGCTTTACCTTATAGATTCATGTCATTTTGTTACTTTCTTTTCTATTCTATTCTTTCCTTCTTTCTCTCTTTTTCTTTTTTTCACCCAGGTTGGAGTGCAGTGGTGCAGTCATACCTCACTGCAGCCTCAAACTCCTGAGCTCAAGCAATCTTCCTGTCCCAGCCTGTCAACTAGCTAGAACAACAGACATGTGCTACCATATTCAGCTAATTTTTTTTTTTGACTGAGTCTTGCTCTGTTGCCCAGGCTGGAGTGCAGTGGTGCAATTTCAGATCACTGCAACCTCTGCCTCCTGGGTTCAAGCGATTCTTCTGCCTCAGCTTCCCAAGTAGCTGGGTCTACAGGTGCACGCTGTCATGCCCAGCTAATGTTTGTATTCTTAGTAGAGACAGTTTCACCATATAGGCCAGGCTGGTCTCAAACTTCTGACCTCGTGATCTGTCTGCCTCAGCCTCCCCAAAGTGCTAGGATTACATGCATGAGCCACTGCTTCCAGCCTCAGCTAATTTTTAAAGTTGTTTGCAGAGACAGGGTCTTTCTATGTTGCCCAGGCTTGTCTTGAACTCTTGGCTTCAAGCAGTCTTTCCACCTTATCCTCCCAAAGTGCTGGGATTATAGGCATGAGCCACTGTGCCCAGCCTTCTTGTAGACTGCAATAAAGAAATGTATTATAATGATTTAAAGTCTGTCTATGAATCCCAACATCAGTGGCTGTTTCTATTATTTTAAATCTTCATTATGTGTCCCATTTTTCTGTTTTTTTTTTTTTTAACATATCTAGTAATTCTTTATTTTATGCTGGGCATTGTAAATAATAACAATATAGAGATTCTGGGTGTTGTCTTCCTCTGAAGAATTTTGCATATTGCTCTGTTTAGTTGCTGACCATTCACCTTGATTTGGTGGAGGTTTGATTTTAAACTTTGTTGGGGTAGGTTTGTTTAGTGCTTCTTCCTAAGTCATGATCTCCGATGATCTCAATGAAAAAGCCTGGTGTGTTTACCAAGCCCCACTCGGTGAGATTTGAACTAGAAAATCCATCTTCCAAATATCAAGCAGCTACAGGAACCCATGTGCCCCTCTTTCCGTCTTCCATCTGTGTCTTCCCCTAGGCTTCTTGGAGTCATGCCCCATGCCAGAGTCAGCTGAGGATTTAAGGGGAGTGTTCTCCCTCTGTGGCTGTCTTTTCTGGGATTTGTTTTTTCTCTCTCAATTTCCAGGTGTTCTGGAAGGCCTAAACTCCAACTATAGAGTCTTGAGTCAATAAGACCTATTTTCTGCTTGATTTCTATTAGCGATGTACCACATAAACTAGGGGATGCCCTCCGGGGTAAAGCCAGTGTGAAGGAAAAATAAATCTTGGGACCCCCAAATCACTAAGCTAAAGCAAAATGTCAAGCTGCGAACTGCTTAGGGAAAGCCGCCTTCCGTTCCATTCAGTCACCCCTCTGCTCACTGAGATAAATGCGTATCTGATTGCCTCATGTGGAGAGGTTAGTCATTTGGAGAGGCTAGTCAGAAACTAAAGAATGCAACCATTTGTCTATTATCTACCCGTGACCCGGAAGCCCTCTCCCCTCCCCTGCCTTTGCCTGGAGTTGTCCCAGTTTCCGGACTGAACCAACAGACATCTTACACACATCGATGTCTCCCTAAAATGTATAAAACCAAGCTGTGTGCTTACCACCATGGGCACATGTCATCAGTACTACCTGAGGCTGTCACGGGCATGTGTCCTCAACTTTGGCAAAATAAACCTAAATTAACTGAGATCTTTCTCAGATTTTCAGGGTTCACACCAGATAAATGTGTCTCTCACCAGTATGACTCCCTTCTTTCAAGAACCACATTCCTAAAATAAATAAACAACCAAAAAAGAAAGAAAAAAAGAACCACATTCCTTTATGTCTCTGCCTATTTTGGGTCACTCTTCAGTACTTTTGAAAAAAAAATTTTTTTTTTTTAAACGGAGTTTCACTCTTGTTGCCCAGGCTGGAGTACAATGGCACCTTCTTGTCTCACCGCAACCTCCACCTCCTGGGTTCAAGTAATTCTCATGCCTCAGCCTCCAGTGTAGCTAGGATTACAGGCATACATCACCATGCCTGGCTAATTTTGTATCTTTAGTAGAGACAGGGTTTCTCCATGTTGGTCAGACTGGTCTTGAACTCCCAACCTCAGGTGATCTGCCCACCTTGGCCTCCCAAAGTGCTGGGATTACAGATGTGAGCCATTGTGCCCAGCCTTCAAAGAAATTATTATATATATATATATATATATATATATATATATTTATTTTTTTTTTTTTTTCAGACTTTACTATTGTTACCAGCAGAAAGTTAGTCTGACACGAGTGACACCCCCACTCCCAGCAAGTCTGCTTCATAGGTCACTACACTCTACTACCTAAGACTTAGAATGAGGGCTCATGTCCAGTCTGGTTTTAGTCTTGACATCTGAAATGATATGACTTAGTGGAAACTGAAGCCCTTTTGTCAGGGTCTGGAGCCAGCCAACCCTGATATTGAGCCTTCACCCTGACCCTTCACTGTGTGACCCTGAATAAGCCTCTTTACCTCACTGAGCCACGGTGGCCTCATCTGTGTAATAGGAATCACCCTGTCTTGCAGGATTCAGAATGGAAAGAACCCCAGTGAAAACCCAGCACATTGTTAAGAATGAATTACAGACCGGGCGCGTTGGATCACGCTTGTAATCTTGGCACCTTGGGAGGCCAAGGCAGCAGATGACTTGAAGTCAGGAGTTCAAGACCAGCCTGGCCAACATGGTGAAGCCCCATCTCTACTAAAAATACAAAACTTAGCCAGGCGTGGTGACAGGTGCCTGTAATCCCAGCCACTAGGGAGGCTGAAGCAGGAGAATCACCTGAACCCGGGAGGTGGAGGCTGCAGTGAACCGAGATTGTGCCACTGCACTCCAGCCTGGGCAACAAGAGTGAAACTCCATCTTAAAAAAAAAAAAAAAGAGTGAATTACACAGTTCTTTTCTCACAAGTAAAGGTCCCCAAATGATGTGGGAGTAGACTAGACCCCATGCTTGCTTTGAGTAAGACCCCACTCTACTCTGGTGACATGTTCTGACATACAAGCTGATGTCCACAAGTCTGGTTTTAGTTTTCACTGTCATGTCAGGGGTGCACCTGTGGAGTGCAGGGAACTACACCCCCAAGGATGGTCCAGACTGTGCCTCCTGGGCAGCAGAAAGTCGCCAGTTAGAGGGCTCATGTCTGGGTGAAATCAATTCCTCATTGAGCGAAAGAGGTTAGCTCGGGCGACACTCCCTCAACAGTCTTTCAACAACAATCCAAATAAGAAGAAATCAAAATACCTGGTATTGATGGGGACAGTCCCCCTCTGAAGCTGCAGGGGTCACTGACACAGCAGCCAAAGCAAGCACCTTGGCAGAGGGGACTGCTGTCTTCAGGCAAGGCTGTAGGAGCCAGGGCTGCTCCTGGACTAGCTTGCGTGGCCTTGGGAAAGACCCCGCCCCTCTCTGGGGCTCCTCCCATCACTTGCGCGGAGAGATGATTTCTTTTGTTTTGAGACAGAATCTTGCTCTGTCGCCCAGGCTGGAGTGCAATGGCGTGATCTCCACTTACTGCAACTTCTGCCTCCTGGGTTCAAGCGATTGTCCTGTCTCAGCCTCCTGAGTAGCTGGGATTACACGCCACGCTCTCGCCACCTCGCCCTGCTAATTTTTTTTTTTTTTTTTTGAGATGGAGTCTCGCTCTGTAGCCCAGGCTGGAGTGCAGTGGCATGATCTTGGCTCACGGCAACTCCACTTCCCTGGTACCGGTTCAAGCAATTCTTCTACCCCAGCCTCCCAAGTAGCTGGGATTACAGGCATGAGCCACCATGCCCAGCTAATTTTTGTCTTTTTTAGTAGAGACGGGGTTTCACCATGTTGGCCAGTCTGGTCTTGAACTCCTGACCTCTGCCTTGGCCTCCCAAAGTGCTGGGATTATAGGCGTGAGCCACTGCACCTGGTCAATTCTTGTATTTTTAGTATAAACGGGGTTTCATCATGTTGCCCAGGCTGACCTCAAGTGATCTGCCTGCCTCAGCCTCCCCAAATGCTGGGATTACAGGGGTGAGCCACCGCACCCAGCAGAGATATGATTTCTAAGGGTCCACCCCAACATGGGATCAGAAATCAGGAGCCCTGACCCCTGACCATGGTCCTGCCTCCCACATGGTGAGGTTGGGCACTTCAGTCAGTCTCTGCCTCAGGTCTCCATCTGCAACACAGGGCATATGCCCAACACTGTCTGTATCAGGCCGGCAAGAGTACCTCAAAGATAATCAGGTGATCTGAAAACCAGAATAACAAACACGTAGTGCACCCAAAGATCCCCGGCCTCGTACCTCGCTGGGCAAACTCAACAGTCTTAAGGCAACTAGGGGAAATGGAGCCGGCTCCCCTTGGGGAAAAAAAATGAGAGCTTTCAAAGACAGACAAATAACTTGCAATTTAAATGCGTAAGAGACCAGGCTGTGCCACCACATATGCAGATAGATGCAAATGATATGCAAATAGCTGGAGTAAGCCTGGATTTGCCAATGTCCTTTGCCAAGCAGCCAGTTATGGGGTTCATCCAGGTCTGATCTGTGCCAGAAGCTCACATCTGGGCCCAGAGGCCTTGGGTGAATGTTCAATGGCGTCTCCTCCAGGAAGCCTTCCAAGATCCAGCAGTTCTCAGCCCCTCCCCCCCCCAAGGCTTGGAGTCTGCCTCTGAATCATCTGCAGGGGTGGTTACTTCTCTGCCGCCAGACTGTGAGCTCCTAAGGGGAGGGGCTCCCTCTTATTCACCACCACACCGGCAACTGGCACAAAGCCTGGCAGTGA